CCTGGATCCAGCCATGCCTGATTTATATTCATTATAAAGGAAGTTGATTAGCATTTCATATGTTTTTCCCTTTCTGTGAAGTGTTATTCATATCCTTTACTGATTTTTCTATGGACTGTTGGTGTTTTTCTCATAGATTTGAAGGAACTTTTTTTAGTATATATTTTTTATTGACGTGAAATTTATATAACACAAAATTAACCATTTTAAAGTAAACAATTCAGTGGCATTTAGTACATTCGTAATCTTGTGCAACCATCACCTCTATCTAGTTCCAAAACATTTTCATCATCGCCAAAGAGACCATGTGTCCATTAAGCAGTCACTCCCCCCAGCCCCTGGCAACCACTAATCTGCTTTCCGTCTCTACAGATTTATCTATTCTGGATATTTCATATAAATGGATTCATAGAATATGTGACCTTTTGTGACTGGCTCCTTTCACTTAGCAGAATGTTTTCAAGGTTAATCCATGTTGTAGCATCATCAGTGCTTCATTCCTTTTTATGGCTGAATGCTATTCCATTGTATGGATAGAACATGTTTTATTTATCCACTCATCCGTTGATGGGCATTTGGATTGTTTCCACCCTTTGGCTATCCAACAGTGCTGCTATGAACAATATTCATGTACAAGTATTTTTTTTGAGTTGTATGTTATAGAAATTAGTAGGTTTTTGTATGTTAGGGGAATTAGTTTGTGGCCTATGATAGGTGTTGCAAATATTGTTTCTCAGTTTGCAGTTTGTCTTTGACTTTGCTTATGGTAGTTTTGGCCAGGCAGAATTTTGAAAAAATTGTTATGTAGATAAATCTGTCAGGCTTTTGTGGCTTATGGGTTTTGTGACACAGTTAGGAAGGCCATCCTTATACTTGAGGTTATAAAATCATTCTCCCATCAAAGCTTCCACTCATTTACTCATTTCCTTATCAGTCAAACAAGGATTAAAAACACCCCTACTTGCCTCCCAGGGTTATTAGGAGGACCAAATAAGAGAAATGATATGAAAGGGCTTTACAAAATATATACACACCAGGTGTGTTGTCATCATCACTACTAATTGTATCACATTGTGGCACTAACAAGCTGAGTTCTGTTGCTGCTTTCATTTTGCAGAGCAGAGATTGAAGGGCAGAATTAGTTACCCAGCCAGCCAAGGATCATTAGTTGGCAGCAAAGTGGAGAATGTCACAAAAGATATCAACTCTTATTAGTCATGTTAGTAGGGTTTCGTATTTGACCAGAAAAATAGAATTGCCTTAAACCAAAAACTATTCTGGTCAACGTTGCTTCAAGTAAAGTCTTTTTTTCCTAACAGGAAAAGAAACCAGTTCAGTGGGTTTTGTGTTATTCAGCTGTAATTGTAACTTAAGCCTCATCAATGGCCATTTGTGACATGTTTTCCTTATATTTTTAACCCCAAATGCTCTTTTTTTAAAGAAAAAACTTTAGGTTGAACACTATATTGACTGAAAAAAATGTCAATACTCGACAGCAATTATTCCTACGGCGGTTGCTCTGGGATCGGATCGTGTGCTGGTTAAGTCCTTGGGTTCTGATATCCGTCAGACCTGGGCTTGAATGTGAGTCAGTTAGTAGCTAGCTGTGTGATCTTGGGCAAATTGCTTCACTGCTCTGTGCCTCTGTTCCCCCATCTGTAAAACAAGGATGATTACAGCACCAGAGCCGTTGGGTTATAGCAAGAAGTCAGTGATAAAATCTATATAGAGGACTTGGCCCAGTGCCTGTGTGGGATGAGGGCACAATAAATACCAGCTACTAGTATAATGCAGGAATATCTAAAAGAATTCAGGAAATGAGCCCAACGGAAATGGAATATACACTTCCAGAGGGTGTTCCCATCCTTATGGGGTGGCACAGATCAAATCACATGGTAGAGCCCCTTCCTCTGCCTCCTACAACATTTATTTGGGGAGAAATCTGGCTTCTGTTGCTACCATGTAAAGGGTGATCATCAGGAATAGCAGCCGGTTCTCATACAGCAAGGAAGAAGTGCCATGTGGAGGAAAGTGTCACAGAAGGGCAGCTGGGAGACTGGGGTGAGCTGTGGGGAGGACTGGAAGGAAAGGGCAAGGGCATTGTGCCAGGGGGCCTGCCCAGGTCACACCACCTCTTCCTGGGGACAGAAGATTCCGGATGATGTGGGTTCACTGTGTGTGGTGATATATTTGCAGAGGGCACAATCCTTTTCTTCTTTTTCCCTTTTCCTACTGTCCGCTCTTCCTGCTCCTAACCTGGGTATCTGTGGAGCCCCAACTCTGGTCCTAGGCCCAGTGTAGTTGGGTCCCAAAAAAGAAATACTAACCGTGGACCTCTGCTATTGCCAGGCACTTTAAATCCCCGCTCACATTGGACCCTGTGCAGTGAGTGAGGGCACCACCATTTTATAGAGGAGGAAACGGAGGCTCAGGGAAGGCACAGAAGCTACCTAGGGCCTCCCACAAGCTGGTAAGCGGCAGAGCCAGAATTTAAATCGCCACCTGCCTTATGCCCAAATCCAGCTTCCTCTGCTGTTCGGCACAGGCTCTATACCACACTCTGCTTCAGGTTCATATGACTTTTTGTGACATTTCTGTGGCTCAGTGCGCTACACATGGCTCTCCCAGAAATATTTGTGGATTTTAAATTTCAGTAGTGATGAGAATAGTTGCTATTTACTAGTTCCTGCCTCAGGTGGACAATAAGCAGGTTCAGTCCCTTGCTGCAGTTCTCAGAGCTAGTCAGTGCAGGGCCAGGGAGGGAATCCGGTCTGCCGCATCCCAAGGTGCATGGTACTCACTCCCATTTTCCTTTGAGAGTCGAGGTTTGAAGTAGGGATGCTAATCTCTGAGCACATGTTTCTCAGGTGACACACGTGGCTTTCACTGTTGTAAACTGGTCTGAAGGGGAACCACAGAGGGCCTGAGCATGCCCCCGGGGCAGGTGAGGCAGGGGTGATAGCAATGGCAGTGGGCCAGTGGCCTCTACTTATGAACTCTGCGACCTCCTGTCTCTGGGCATGAAGCTGTAAAAAGCCCTGTGATTCTCCAGCTGGACTTCTCCCTGTGCTTTCTCCCGGCAGATCCTGTGCAGTCCCATCTGTAGCCCTTAGCTCATATTGTTTGCTCCATAGGAATACCCTGGCCTCCCCACTCCGCCTCGCCACGCTTATCTGGGGAGACCCAGTGCAACTACCACCTTCTCTAAGAAGCCTCAATGGACTGGCCTGGATAACCTATTCATTTCTGAACCCAAATCAAATCATTTATTATATACCTAGAAAAAGGCAAGTGGAAGACTATTCTGAGAAATTTGTGAAAATACCACACTTGGGGGACGATACATGTTAAGGACAACTTTAATATGTGAAATTCTAATGGTCAGCGACCCTATAGTGCTTGATTTCATTTTTACAGAACAAATCTTATTCTATCTTAAGTGCGTCTGAAATAGGTTTAGTCTCTCTAGTAGAATGCGGGAGACTTTTAGCATTTGCCCCCGGGGAAAATCGGTGTCAGACTGCCTAGGTATGAATGCTGGTGACCTTGGGTAAGTCACTTCCCATAATCTGTGAAAGAAGGACACTTATACTATGTTGTTAGGTTGTTGGGGAGATATCAGGGGGTGATAATAATTGCTACCATTTATTGAGTGCTGACTGTGTACCAGGCACCATGCTAAGCTTAGCTTTACATTCTTATTTGATCTTCCCAAGAGGTCCCTCATTCCTGAAGTCCCTCACTCTGCAATATTTTCTTCCCCGTAGCACTTGTCATCTTCTACCACGTTATATAATTCACTCATTTTGTTTGTTTTTCATCTTCCCCTCCCCGGGCCTCTTGCCTTGCACAGCTCCAGAAGGCACCGTTCACAATGTGTTCTGAGTTCTGCTAGGGGCTGCTTTCACTGAGAATATTAACGTAACTGGTGGTGACGTCCTAGAGTTCTGTGATGTGGAGACCTGGAGCTCCAGGAGGACAGGGATTTTTTTTTTTTTTGATCATTGCTGTATCCCCATACCCAGAACGATGCCTGACCTATAGTAAGCTTTCAATAAATATTTGTTGAAAGAATGAATGAAAAAGCCCCCAAAGAGAGCCCATTTTACTGGTGAGGAAGCTGAAGTTCAATGAGTTATTGATTTGCTCAAAGCCCCACGAGACTCTGAGGAAGCTGGGTGTCTCCAGCATGCCTGCTCTCAACGGCTTTGCAAAGCTGCATGTCTGAAATGCCTGGCATTGTCCCTGCCACCCCGCAATTGCTCAACAAATATTAATGAGCCTGCCTACGTGGGTCAGCCCCTCTTCTCTGCTAGACAATCCCCGCAGAGCGACAAACTGTCACACAGCGGTTGCTTTGAGAAATTGAATTAAATTGCACGGTGCAAAGAAAAAGCGGACCTTTTGGAGTTTTGGGAAGAAAAATCGTGAACTCGACTGCTAATGGTAGGAGTTCGCAGGCGCCTCTCAGGCCTTTCCAGCCTGATTCTTTTTCCTGCTGCCTTCCCTTTTGTGCCGTTTTCTTCCCCCTTTTTACTTGCAGTGAGCTCTGCTCTCCTGTAGGCTACAATGTGTCAGTTGTTATAAAATCCGGGAGGTGGGGCTTAGTGACGAAGGCAGTTGGGGAGCGCTCCCTCAGCCAGCCCTGCAGGGCGAGCAGTCCAGCCCCGGTTCATCGGAGCTTAAGCCTTGCAGCAGGAGAACTTCCATGTCGCTCTCCTGGCTTTGATCGTCACTGTACATCAGACCAGAGGCACCGAAAGGAGGGAGGATGCGAGATGACCAGCCCTTTGGCAACCTGACCATCTCCTTAGCAGAGCCTTTGAAAGCCAGCGGGGGGCTGACTTCACGGCCGGCTGAGGAGGAGCCGCACCTCTCGTGGATGTGTGTGTGTGTGTGTGAGCGGGTGAGTGGGTGTGAGTGAGTGAGGGTGTGTGCGTGTATGTGTGCATGTGCATCACGACTGTGTGTGTGCGTGTCGGGATGAGTGCATGAGTGCATGCATGAGTGTGTTTGTGTGTGTGTGTATGTGTGTGAGTGAGTGCTGTTGGTTATTTTTTTGGAAGAAAAATCTTGAAAATCTGGGGCAGGTTACCGTGCTCTGGGGGTGGTGGTTCTTTTGCAAGAGAGCTGACCAGACCAAGCTACTAGAGACATTTTTTGGCGAGTAAAGAGAATTTTCCTCCCAGAGCGAGAGGGATTTTTCCCCTGGCTCTGCAGCCAGTAAAAGAGATCAGCCCCTAAACCTGTGAAATCGACCAGAGCCGTGTGATTATCAGGGCTTGAGAGAGGACTCGGGAAGAAAAGGAGAAATAAATCAAACAGCTTGTCAGTGCCTTTGGCCACATTGGAAGATGTCATCTCAAACTAAGTTCAAGAAAGACAAAGAGATCATTGCCGAATACGAAGCCCAAATAAAAGGTGAGATGCGGGCTGGGGAGTCGTGCCTCCCCTCCCTTTTCCTTTTTCTCTTGCTTTGGCTTTTTTTTTTTCCCCCCTTTCCTCCCTGCCATCATGAAATGTTGTTATGCATCAATAATCTTATTGTGAGGAGGAACAGTGGCGGCCGCACAAGCCCGGACTGGTTTCAACTGCAGAGAGCGCTGGCGCTGGGAGTATGGAGTACAGAGCGGGCACAGTCACTGCATTGCAGGTGTGTGAGGAGGATCCGACGCCCAGCTTTAGGAGTGTCGCCTATACTCCATCATCTTGGCCATGACATGTCACTCTAAGGCCATTTTGACAGTCACCGCCTCCTCCCCTCCCCCCATGCTAAAAGCCCCTTAATATGATGTATATATTTTACAATCTGCTTTTTGTTTTTCTTTCTCCTTTTTGGTTTCTGTTGTTGCTTTGCCTCTGCCTCTTTCTCTGGGCTGGAATTCGCATGCATGTGTGCAGGGAAGCAGCATCCCCAGGCTGCACTTCTTTGTCAGGGTCTCTCCGTGGCCTGGGTCGCCATGGATTAACTGTTATGGGGCATATTGATCCAAATTAATGCAGGCATTTAGGTATAAAGAGGGAGCTCGGTGCAGAAAACGTATTCTCTCCCAGTGTACAGCCCCAATCACCATCCATGCACTAGCGCTTAGAGTCATCAGCCTTCATTCAAAGCCAACAGCTCGGTGTGCCGGTTGGGCTGGTAGGCGCTGCCTGGCTTCCGTGGTGCTGGGAAAGCCTGCCAGGAGGATGAGATGACCTCTGGCTGCTTGTTCCAGCTTTGGAGCCACTGGCTGCACACTCCTCCCGGAAGCTGTTCCCTGAATCCATGCTGGCAAGGTTAAATAGCAAACCGGACACAATCGCATAGACATATGCAGGCAGAATCCTCGTTTGGGCCAGACTAGGGCTTCTCCCACCCTCACAAGTCCTAGGCTCAGCTTTGGCAAGGAAAACCTGAAAGCACCATCCACCGTGTTCGCCCCTTCCCTGAGGATGGACCCTAAGGGAAGTCTGGGCCTGTGCCTCTTAGCATCTGTTTTCTTTCTGGTCACGGTTCTCCTTGCTGTGACACAGGGTATGTTGTGGTCTCTCATAGAAGGAGTCAAGACAAAACACATCTCCAGTGGATGTTGATGCCTGCCCTTGAGGTTATGGGCGGACCTTTGAGCAAGTTGGTTATTTGGGGCTCTGGCGACCTGAGGTTGCCACACCCCCTTCTAGGTGCTGCTGCAGCTCAAGACTCGGTGACCCGGGAAGTGGGGGCGCCTCCCCAGGAGCGGCGGGAGGCCGGACATCCACAGCTGCGCACGCTTCCGATGCTTGGGAAACTTTGGGAGGGGAGCAGCCGTCAGGGGAGGGCTTTGTTTTTTTTCCAGTCTCGCCAGCCGCCTTGTGCCTTTGAGTTCTGGTTCAACTGGCATGCTAATCACCTGGGGGGAGACCCCAGGGCCACATGAGCAGAAAACCCTTCTCTTCGCTGGTCTCCTCCGCCTTAGTCTTTAGTTCAGTGTAGAAAACAGTGACTTAGGATGTTTCAGCCTTGCTGAACATTTAGAAACAAGCCCATTATGGGTCAGAGATTTAAATTCACCCAACTGCTCAATAGAAAAAAAAAAAAAGCCCAATGTCAGTCTTTGCCTATATACTTTTCAGGGAGTTCATATTTTATAAGACCAATTTGGCTGATTATTATTTTTTTTAACTGAGATTCCCATGAAAAATTCCATAGTAGAGAAGGGGCTGTTGAGTTTTGGACAGTGGAGTTTTTAAAAGCATCGTCTTGATAGGAAACGTGTTTATCTCATTTTTAAACGATTGCTACCACTGGGCCCACTCTGCTTGAGGATCAAGTGAGCATTTATTGCTCTAGCTGATTCTTTTACTTTTTACCTTTCACCTTTATTTTAGCAACTAATTAACAAGTACAAGGTAATGCGTTTCAGCAGGAAATTTGTCCAAATGATTTTGTCTCTTCCAGACTCTACATGTCTGCTTTCTGGTTGCAGGAGTTTAATTTTATTCCTTTGGAGTTGACACCCACACGATTTAGGTCAGGATGCTGCTGTGCCCGAAACCGTCTGGAATCTTTTCTGTTCAAATTCTGTTTGTTAATCATCGTCATAGTTATTGATGTGTGCGCAGGGCTCTACAGTTTCTATGGCTCACTCGCAGACATCACAGCTCTCGGCCTACACCACGCACAGAAAGGGTTTGTATGAGCTCAGTTTTGGAGATGAGGAAACTGAGGCATCGTAGTGTTAGATGACTTGCCTAAGGTCACGACGCTGGAAATGTGAAGGCAGCTGGTTGTCTCCCAGGCTCAGAGTTCCCTGTACATTGTTTGCCCGAAGCTGCCCCTTGCAGGATTGATGTCAGTAACAGATGGCAGTTTTGTGGTGGGGCCGGGCTGCTTCTTGATGGCGTTCCATTGTTTACCCTCTTACTTTCATCCCTGGCCTTTGCTGCTTGTCTCTGAAGAATGTTTGACCAATCCCCAAAAATAATGCCTGATGCCAATTCCCTTTCTCCTTGGGTATGATCTGGCCAAAGCAGTGCAAACACTCCACCAAGTTAGACAGATTTTGTCCTCTGTGAATTTTGTGAGGGAGAGCTTTTGATTTTTAAAAATGATACTGAGTTCTTTGTGGACTTATTTATTCTCTTTTATCTCTTTTTGAAGAATTTACTGACCTAACGAAGGGGAAAGTTTTAAAACAGTTCTTTTCTATTGTAAAAAATTTCAGACTCATGCCTTTTCTTGCCTCATCAGATACTTGAATCCCTTTGATTATATACCTGCAACACAGTAGTGTATATACCATATGCTTGCACATTTCCAGTGGTGGGGAACTCACCACCTCCCCAGCCCACAGAGTCTATCTTTGGACAGTTCTGGCTGTTGTAAATGGCTTTTTTTTTTTTTCGTGAGGAAGATCAGCCCTGAGCTAACATCCGTGCTAATCCTCCTCTTTTTGCTGAGGAAGACCGGCTCTGAGCTAACATCTATTGCCAATCCTCCTCCTTTTTTCCCCCAAAGCCCCAGTAGATAGTTGTAGGTCATAGTTGCACATCCTTCTAGTTGCTGTATGTGGGACAAGGCCTCAGCATGGCCGGAGAAGCAGTGCGTCTGTGCGCGCCCGGGATCCGAACCCGGGCCGCCAGTAGTGGAGCGCGTGCACTCAACTACTAAGCCACGGGGCCGGCCCGTAAATGGCTTTTATGTTGGGTTAAATATGTCTCTCCTCCACCTATTGATTCTATAGTATCTTCCCCCTCGGGCTTCATAGAACAAGACAGATGCTTCTTCCCCAAGGCTGCCCATTGTGTGTTTGGAGAGTCTGATCATAGCCCCCCTGATCCATATGAACCATAGCCCATATGGTTATCCTCACTTGCTCATATAAGATGGTTCACTGCTGCTTATCATCTTCACTCTCTTTCGGATCTGCTGCGTCCTGGGTTGCAAATTCCAGTGACTCTGGGTGCTTGGCAAATAGAATAAATGAGTGAAGCTGGCCACTTAAGGTGATTTGTGGCAGCTGGCCCACCATCTCAGTGAGGGCAGTATTAGACGGGGTAGTGGTGATTATGGTAGGCCTGGAAAGCACATGTCCTGTCCAAATGGGCAGTCACTACTTGATTTCAACCAGTTGTTACCATTTAGGAATATAGGCCCAGCCAGATGAGAGCTTTATACTTTTAAAGAGGTTTTGCCAAATGTACCTCCAAAATATTGTACTATCAAAAGCCTTTTTCAAGAGGGCTACTAAATTCTATATGAGATTCTCTACGTGTGGTCAGAAAAGGAAAACAACTATCACTTCCTTTGTGCTGTATTTAATGCTTCTATTAATACAGCGCAAGGGTGGAATTAGCCCTTTTCACTGCCCACCCCCTCATTGCACCACGTATATTATATCTACTATATTTCTTCAATCCACTAGGCTAGGAGCCTTATCAGAGAGAAGAAAATGAACTGAATTTAATATGACTTGTTCTTGGTGACCCCAAACTGGTTTCAAATGGACATTGCTTCCTGCCTGAAAGTGTTCCTTTATGAATGTGTTCAAGAACCCTGCCTGAGAGTGACATCATGTTCTCTAGATGGGAACTGGCAAGCTATAACTTCTTTCTCCTTTTGAAAATCAGAACAACATTTGCCCATCTCCAGCTTTTTGGCACCTATCCTAATTTTCACAATTCCCTCAGAGATTACGGATCATGTTTGGTGATCTTATCTGCAGGCATGCTCAGTATCCTGGGCTTTAGTTCATCTTGCTGTCAGACATCATGTTCTGTTCTGCATTTATTCAGACTTCCTATTGCCATTTCAACCTAAGAGAAAATTGAAACAGAAATGCAGTGGTTGACTTTAGTGTTTCATTTTTTGTTGCATACCTATATTCATTTTAGGCCACCTTCCTAATAGCAAAAGTCTAGAATTTGGGGGAAGAAAAGCAGATATTGAAGAAGATCACAGAGAAACATTTATTTATTCGTTCATTTTGCATTCATTCAATAAACATTGAGTGTCTGCTTTGTTCTTAATCTTGTGCTGGGTGTTGTGAGAGATGCAAAGTATATGATACATTCTTGGCTTTCTAAGAGTTTTCTTGGAATATGGTGATAAAACCAGTGAAGGAGATAAAAAACCAAACACAAAAAAATTCCAACTGAGCACCAGAATGAGTTTAGTCTGAAAGAGATTATACCATACGGTGATTGGACGACCTCCTTAGGAAGCCTCACTACCTTCAGCAGGCTCCAATGAGGAAAGTAGGCTGGGCTGGGGAAACAATGGGGACTAGTGGGGACTGTGGCTGATTAGGGAGCTCACCTAGAGGAGGCAGGCACTGCTCAGCTCCAGTGTGTCATGGCCATGCAGGAATGTGAGCCCAGAGTGGTCGATTCTTTCAGTGTTTCACGATCATCTGGATTTTAAAATGAAATCTCCTGATTTTTATGTTTAATTTTTAAAT